ATCATTTTCACATGGGGGTCTTTTGAGATTCCCTCACTTTTCAATACAGCCTCAAGTGGCCATTTAAGGAACTGCAGTTTTGAGGCTCTGGAGTGTGCAGTACGGCTTGGTTAGGAAACACAACGTTCCCAACTACTTGTTTTAATGCATGTCTACGGAGCCCTGGAGGGTTCATAGAGAGAAAAATAAATAAAACGTGGCCACGTTTTACTTTCTCGTGCGCACGCTTTAGTAACTCGTGCGCACGAGTTACTAAAGCGTGCGCACGAGTTACTAAAGCGTGCGCACGAGTTAATAAAGCGTGGCCTCGTTTTATTTAAATTGAGGGATTCCTGTCCGTGACTCACAGTATCTGCTGCCCACAGCTGTTTTATAGAAGGAAAACCTCCTTCACTTTATGAAATCTCTGCGGCACCAGTGGCCTGTACTACGAAGCAGGATTGGCTATTTACACTATTCATTCATGAAGTATGACGCTGCGCTGTCAGCACGCGTCTCCATGTTTGTGATTGGTCAAATGTTGCTAACCCCGTCCCTTTCACGTGAGCGCGCTCTCAGCCGGACAGAGAAACCCTGGTTGATTTACTGAGTTGATAACCAGCTTCGTAGGACCGCTTATCGACATCGCGTTTGTTAGGGTCAGTTAAGCCGGGTAAATCGAACATGTCCAGGTCCAGGGTCTGTTGAACTGGCTTCGTCGTACTGGAGGCAGTAACGTGTAACTCAGCAGAATCTGAGAAGAGCAGCACCAGCTGCAAAGAGCTGTGCCTTTTACTGTTACCATTCTTCACTGCGTTTCCCTTCATTAGAACCGCTGATAGAGATCGAGGCTGCTACGTTTAACCACACACACCTATACACACATCGAACTACCAGAGTATTCCCCCTCGCTTTATGAAGGAGATGTCCTGTCACCGGGGCGCATGATGTGTGTGTGTGTGTGTGTGCTCAGCTCCGCCCTGTGTGCGTGTTCGTGTGTATCCGACACCACCGGCATTTGTTTTCAAATTACCACGAACAGTACTTTAAACAAATCTGGTTCCCCATAGTTAAGTGTATTCCCAAGTGAAAGAAATGTGTTTAATCTTAATCTCGATGTGCTATAGTCCGGCCGGAGTGCACCGGAACGAACGATACTATCATAAACAAATGCCCCCCCCCCCCACACACAAAACGAGGCCATGCTTTATTAACTCGTGCGCACGCTTTAGTAACTCGTGCGCACGCTTTAGTAACTCGTGCGCACGAGTTACTAAAGCGTGCGCACGAGAAAGTAAAACGTGGCCACGTTTTATTTATTTTTCTCTCTATGAACCCTCCAGGGCTCCGTACATGTCAGCCTGCAATTGAAACATAATTTCTTAATGTGAAATGATGTGATATTCAGCAAGGCCATCAGTTTGATTTGACCATATGCATATATTAGACATACAACGATAAATACAAATGCATAAAGAAACACAAATAAAATAGTTCAAGATAATATTGACCGATAGGTGTAAGTAAACCATATACATGCAAAAAAAGAACAAAATGACCTAAAAGCAGAACAAATATATTAAATCAAATGTTTTACAGTTCAATAAAATACTGCTTATTGTAAAATAAAAGTGCCATCGTATGTAATCAGAAACACACTTTACAGGCCATCAATGGGGCTGAAGACCTTACTCATCGACAACAATAAATCCAATGCAAATGCTTCCAGTGTTCCAGGTTTGATGAGTGTTTCTCTCTCTCCTGCAGGATGGAAAAACCCCTCTGGAGACTCTGAATTCATGGCAGAACGGCGCCAAGAGCCTCCTGTGTAACTTCAGCCAGGAGAAACCCGATGCAGTAACACATTCCTAAAAACAAAATCCAACATGAGATTCAACCCGTGGATCGGATGGAGTGAAGCACCCAAGTCTTTCTTTTAATATCTGGTAATCCGGCGAGGCTGTGCCAAATGTTCGCTTTCAAACGGCCTACGGTGTTGACTGATGGATATTAACACCCTCAGGGAGTGGTCATAAATCTAAAGCTCACTCTAAAGCGGGTATTGTGGGAAACCACAAATCTAATCAGGATGTTGTTAATGCTGTGATTGATAGCACTGATAGATTCAAATGTTGCTGGACAATGTTTTTCTTCTTAAGCTGAGTAGAAGTCGGCGAGGACATATTTATTGACAAGAAAAATATTTATTGCGTTTGATTAATTTATTTCATTATCATACACTTAAAGCTAGGGTAGGTAATTTACTTCAGAAACACTTTTTGTTATATTGCTCTTAACATCCCGATGGCAATGAATACATCAAATGCTTTGACAATAAATATATACAAATATTTCATTTGTGGAAGCCGTGGCGCTGCAAAAAGCTATACCAATTATCTCCTTCGGCCCGCGGCAGATAACTGGATGGCCTGCCTGCCTGTCAGCCTTCCATCTGTGCACAAACTTATCTCGTGCCCTCATTGGTCATGTGCGCGTTCGTGTGTGTTGGAGGAGGGGCTCTGTGAGGAAGTCTGAAGGAAGCGGCAGATTTTTTTCGGTTGTGTATTTTCAAATTCTAGCGCACTCGAGCTGGTTTCTCCATTCTCACCTACCCCACCTTCAATAACTGTACGGGAAAGGATTAGGGCCACGTGTGACATCTTATCTCAACATGTATTTATTTGTATCTCAGAGTTCCGTGTAAAATGTGAAACTCTGAAAAATAAAAAAATCTGAAAATCTCGGAATTCTGAGAAAAAAGTCTGATTTCCAAAATGTTCGGATTTTTTCATTTTTTTTAATCAGAATACTGATTCTGAAAATAATCTGAATTCTAAGGAAAATGTCAGGATTGTAAAAAAAAATGTTGTGGCTCTAATCCTCTTCTATAAAACCAAGTGTTCTTGAATTTACTAACTAATGGAAACAACTGTGAGACATTTCTTTAGTTTTTTTTCAGATCATCATCAGTCTAAGGATTGATGTAAGTTAACTAAGGTTATTTATTTGTATAAAAAGACTTGAGCTCAGTGTAAAGAAGTAAGAGAGAACTGAGCCCGATCTTGCTGGTAGACGATTGTTGTTATACTTGAACATTCAGATGACTTTTTAACCGAGTTCTTAGGTTTTACACGTTTTGAGATTGAGATAAGACAGGAAGAAGTACGTTTTTGGATCAGGAGGAAGAAGAATATCTCCACTTTATTTATCGAGGTTGCTGTTACAATTATTTGTTAACCCTTTCTTTGTTGATTTCGGTGTAGCTTCATCTTTGCTGAAGCTCACCTAAAACAAATTAAATTCACCTCAACGATAAAAAAAGAGTGAGAGAGGAAAGACGCATTGTTGGTTCAGAGGATGTTTGAAAAGTGTTTATGAAAACCAGGACCTGATACGTGAATGATTATCAGATTTATTTTTATTTTTAAAGATGTATGTACATTTTGCCTTATATTTTTGGATTGATCTAATAAAAACATTCAATTTAAGTTTTGTTTTTTTGACATAAACCTGCATGCTTTTGCCTTTTGAACGTGAAGTCATGTGACCGTGCTGTAGTTCCTTTAGAGCCCAACATTAGCCTCCTTTAGCTTAGCGGTGGTGACGTGAAGTCATGTGACCGTGCTGTAGTTCCTTTAGAGCCCAACATTAGCCTCCTTTAGCTTAGCGGTGGTGACGTGAAGTCATGTGACCGTGCTGTAGTTCCTTTATAGCCTAACATTAGCCTCCTTTAGCTTAGCGGTAGTGTAGTTATTTTATAGCCCAACGTTAGCCTCCTTTAGCTTAGCGGTGGTGACGTGAAGTCATGTGACCGTGCCGTAGTTCCTTGATAGCCCAACATTAGCCTCCTTTAGCTTAGCGGTGGCGACGTGAAGTCATGTGACCGTGCCGTAGTTCCTTGATAGCCCAACATTAGCCTCCTTTAGCTTAGCGGTGGTGTAGTTATTTTATAGCCTAACGTTAGCTTTTATACTTCATGTATCACAACCTAGCCGATACTAACATTGTGTTTGCAACTTCACTTAAACCCCCAGAAGTAGCTTCATTGTTCATTTCGAACATGAATCAACCGGTAATCAAGTTTATTGACAGGTTGTGACCCTGAACCGCCATAATGGTCCAACAAAGTGGGAATTACCTTGTCTTCTACCAGTAACTGTTGCGAATACTGGACCGTGAATTGTGAGTGATTAAGGAAGCAGACCTGAGGATTTGTGGTCGAAATGAAAATCAGCCAGTTAAAACTCATTATGGAGGGAACACAGAGATGTTAGCCTTTGGAGACCATTTACATGCACACAAAACAGGAAAGGTAAAGCTCAGTAGGGCCTTTTTAACAGGCACATTACTGCAGGTGGGGTTTTATACACAGAAACTCAATCTGTCACTGTCTTCTAGTCAGTCTTCATCAGTCTTCAACAGACCCTGAACATCTCAAGAAAGCCAAGTCTGCTACAAACCAAGCACTAAAGTGACTGAACATTGTATGAACAATTTTTGTGAAAAATGCAAAAAGTGATGCAATATATGAAATACATGGTTTATACCTGTAATTACTGTGGTTCCATTTCTTCTGATTACCTAATTTGGGCATGCACATTTTCCACGCACAAACCTACCTCTTTTGGATTTGGAAAGATCCAAAAGAGGATGACGTTATTATGTGTAACTAATAACGTCATCACAATCGCCACATTGATATGTGTTGAGAACACGGCGTGCAAAAGTATACGGGTCGTGCTGCAGCTAGATTTTCCTGTCCTCTGTTAGAAGGTGTCGGCGACGGACGTGCAAGGAAGAACGGCTTTCCACAGGATGTTCCAATTTAACTACTTTATTGATTTCCTGGGTAGTGAATTTTACATGCAATGGTAATTGGATGGGTGTGGTATCTGTAACATAAAGATAAACAGGTATGAATAAACATGTATTATAGAGTGATAATGACCAGTCACATTGTTTCACAGTAAATTAGGTAGATAAAGAAATGGCACAATTAGCATGGCCTATGCTGCCCTCTATTGGCCAAAGGCCGCAACAGAATGGCGATTGAAATGACACGTTATTACATAAAGTAATGAACTATTGTAAACAATCACGCATGAACAACATACAGGAATGCACACAATGAAGTCTCTATAATGACTACAATATAAAGAACACTGCATACTGTTAGAAATTAAAATCAATATTTTGATGGCATAATGTACCTTAAATGTACCTTCAGTTTAAATGCTGTTTTATACTGAAAAACCAGAAAATTATTGTGCACAACCAGTTAAGCTTTTATTCTGAAAATCCTTCATCTCCGGTTAGCATGTGGCTAGTTTACCATTTCTTATAGAGGTTAATTTAGTAGCGAAATGACATGGAGTGATGCACACAGAAACCTACTGATTTTAACACTGCAACTATAGACGTATTATTATTGCTGAATATTAAATGAAGGTATAGTTTATTTGAATAAAGTTATTGTTTACAGACGTGGGTAAGATGTGACAACTTCCGGAATGACCAGAAACCAAACCAGCCGTGAAGTATTTTCTGTATTTTTTAGAATATTAACTACAACGTTTAGAATGTGTTAAAGGAAAAGTGATGAAAGACAATATGAGGAGAAGAGGCGTGTTTAAGTATGTATTGAATGTACAATGCCTGAATCCTCTGTTTAAACGTAACAACGGACATTAAGATGTGGAGGGCCGGCCCGCAGGGAGGAGCCTGCAGAAGCTATATAAGAGCAGCACCTGAGCGGTTCGGCCTCTTTTCTCTGCTAGCGAGGGCCAGAGACAGCTGCTTTTCTGTCGGACAATATCCTGTTTGTGACTGTACCGCGCCTTTTATTAATTAAAGTACCAATTTGAAAACATCTCAGAGACTCCATTTAGTCTCCTTTTTAAGCTTCTCTTTCCTGGACGCGAGAATAACCATCACAGTTAACAATTGGTAAGGAGGGAGTGTCATGATTATACAGATATGTTGATTTCAGTGACGTTGTAGTTAGTAAATAATAACATGTAGTTAATAATAGGTCTCATAACGACAAAAGGTATGCCAAAGCTTGGGCCTCCTCCAAGGAGGGAGTGGTCCAGTTTTGGATATTAGACGAATAGAAGTGATGAATATGTCAGAACTCTGAGTAATATAATCTAAGTTTTGTCTACACAGGCTAAGAAAGCTACAGAGATACCAGACGAGACACCAGAAGAGACTCCTGTTCGGCCAGGTGATTGGGTGAGGGTGAAAGTTCACAAAAGACAGTGAGCTGATCCCCGGTGGACGGAACAGTGAGAAGTTGTAACGAACTTCACACGCGCTCCGGTTTAAAGGTAAAGAAAAAGGAGCAAATTGACACCACCTCACACATTGTCACCCTTCACTGGCAACTTCCAGAACATTATTGGGAGTTAGGACTGATTTGGCAGAGCTGGAACAAAACAATAAATAGAAATAAGATAAAGATAGAAACAGCTCAAAAGAGGAATTGTCTATAGATTTTTATAGATAGTACACTAAAGTGAAAACCTATTTTTGTTTTACATCTGAAAAAGAGTCAAATTTTAGTATACGTTATTATAGTACTCATTATTTAAATTCTGTAACTGACACCAAGGGAGAAAATAGAGATGATGTCAAGAACAAAGCCAAAGCTATTGTGGGGTCCCCTAGGGATAAGAGTCAGAATAGCATTGTTGATTGTGCTCATTACACTTGGCACCTTTCTGGTTGGATGGGGAGTACAATATCAAGTAAGACATGGATCCATTAGTCCACTCATAGAGAATGCCCACATCACTAACAAAACTCCAGCTGTGTTTCAGAGACTTTCCCTTATCCCCAGAGCCAAAAGATCAGCTGAGCAACAAGAGGAGGAGTTAGAAATACTTGGTCCCAAAGGTGAGGCGGTTACAATCAAGATGATTCACCCCCCCTATATGCAGTTCTTGTATCAAATGATGAGATGGGTTTAAGTGATTGGGATATGTAGGTGATGGGAATTTACAGATTAGGGGAATCTAAAAATACACTGGATCCATGTTTTAGTCTGTGCCAGAAACACCCCTGTTAAGTTTATGGACAACCAACCGGTGACCTGAGCACAATTATTGAAAAATGATTACAGTAGAAACAGGCTACTAACCCACAAGTACAGCTTTGTACGTACAAACTCTATGAACAAAATTCCCCAGCAGATTGTGGCGACATTGCAGATATGTTCAGTCACAAAAGTTACTTATGTTCTAAATAACAGTGAGATTTAAAGTAATGGAGAAAATATGGGGACGTTCTTTTATAGTGTGTGAAATATGTGGTGCTTGAAACATGTAGGTATTTTTAATTTATAGAAGAAAATGGTTTCCTGAAAGAGTTATTTGGAGTAGCCATGTTACAGTGGGTGGAAACAATGTTTAGGGATATGGCACAACCATTAGTAGACATTAATTGGGTTTAGATGACATTTAACATCTAAGACAGATAGTAAGATTAGGAAAATAGAGTGGAAAGGATTGGATATATTTTACCTCAGTGTGTTAGAATTAGCTATAGGTAATGCCTCCCGAGATCTCTCTCTCTCTCTCTGCCTGTCAGAATGCTACGACCCCATCTTCAGACAAATGACCTCACCACAGGAGACTCCTCCTCCGGTTTAAAGACAGACAACCCGAGCTGAACCAACAACCACCTGAGGCATCCAGAACCATCTCCACCTGAGGCATCCAGAACCATCTCCACCTGAGGCATCCAGAACCATCTCCACCTGAGGCATCCAGAACCAAACCAGCATGCTGACAAAGAGGCAAACTCTCATCGGTCCCTCAAACAGGACATGAAGTTCCAAACTGAGCCGCGAGATTTGGCACAAGAGCAGAGTGGGACATGAGAGCAGAATACACCACTCCATGCAACAGCGTAGAGACTGAAAAGGAGGAGATGAAATGCAAAGCAGTTGGGCCACTGAAAAGAATTACAGCGGGAAGATCCAAGTGCGGATGGACTGAGGAGAAGACAGGATGGAGGAGAAGACAGAACCAGAGGAGTTGGCATGGGCCAGCAGAACGTGAGGGGGTCGTGGCTTGACGACCAGAGGGGGAGAGAAGGAACACAGGAGTGAGTGAGTTTACACATAAACACACTTATTAGAAAATAATCCTAAAAACACACTGAGGGTAGAACATATTATTCAATCTTTTCATAATATAAACAAATTATTCTTATAGAGATTCTTATTCATGTGAGAATTTGGGGAAGATTTAATTTGTTACAATATAGATAGCAGGCAAATCTTTATTTGAATGGAAAATGTTAAAGGTAGAGCTGGGACCAAGCCAAAGAAAGTATTCCAATCTAGAGTATTGGTTTCTCCATTGTAGCATGGATATTACCACAGGAGAACTGTTAAGGTGGAAACAACATTTGTTTGTCGTCCAAGATGTAGAGTTTTAAAAAGACACTAGGCAAAGAGCGATTGAAGATTTTAATTTTGAAAAAACTAGTACAATTGGGAGTAATACATGCGGGGCCTTGGATCACTCATTTTAATGGTGCATATTTT